ATTCTCACCACAATGTCAATGACATTCCTTACAGAAACAGAAGATCTAACATACGATATAAAAATGGGTGCAGCCAGGATGCAGGTTTCTTTTTTTTTTTTTTCAGATTTCTTAAAAAAGTAAAAATAAAGCTGCCATATGGCCCAGCATTCTATTCCTAGCTATATACTGGAAGGACTCTCAGTCAAAATACCACATCCACATTTACAGCTTCACTGTTCACATTAAGTTGGAAGTTGAACTAACCTACATGCCCATCAGCAGCGAATAAAGAAATGTAGTACATATATACTACACAGTAAAATTTTATTCAGTTGTAAAGAAAATGAAGACATGACCTTTATAGGAAAATGGATGAAACCAGAAATCATACATTAAGCAAAAATATCAGACTCAGAAAAATAAATGTGTTTTCTTTCATATGCAGAGACAACATTTAAAAGACAAAGACAGGCAGGCAGATACAAACACACTGAAAATGAGACAGAGACAGAAGGGGGGCAGGGGACTGTCTAGAAGGGACCATGAGAGGTCAAGAGACCTTCAGTTATAGAGATAAGAATGCTGGAGAGAAGACTAACTGAAGGAAGGCCAGAGGTGGGGCATGGAGTGGTGGCGGGGGAACAAATGAGAAGGAAATATAATGACCCATATGTAAGAAAATGCCATAATGAAACCCACTCCTAGAGACTGAGCTCGGTATGGTGGTACTTGCCTTTAACCCAGCACTCGGAGGCAGACTGAGGCCAGCCTGTCCAAATGCCAGATTACAGGGCAGCAAGAACTACACAGTGAGTCATGACAAAAAGCACACAAAAATCACAAATTTTAATAAAAAAAAAATGCATTTGTGAATAAAAGATTCCAACCCCCCCCCCTTTTGGCAGGGTTTCTTTGTAGCTTTGGAGCCTGCTCTGGAATTAGCTCTTGTAGACCAGGCTGGCCTCAAACTCACAGAGATCCACCTGCCTCTGCCTCCCTAGTGCTGGGATTGAAGGTGTGCGCCACCACTGCCCAGCCAATTCCTCCTTAAAAACAAAACCAAGCTCCAATTTTGTGAGTTACAGGCTAGCATGGTCTACAGGGTGAGTTCCAGGACAAGCAGAGTGACAAAGAGATACCTTCTCTTGAAAAACCAAAAGAAACAAAGCAACTTCTCAGGACTAGAGAAATGGCTCAGAGATCGAAAGTGCTCACGCTTCTCGCAGGGGATGTAGGTTCAATTTCTAGAGCCTACCTGTTAGCTTACAATCATCTGTAACTACAGTTCCAAGGGATTCAATGTCCTCTGGTCTCCTAGGGCACCACACACACAGAGAACATTAATTCACAAAGGTGTGCGTGCACTCATACATAGACAATCTTTAAAAGTAAGCTGGAGGGAGCTGTTGATTCATTCTACAATTTGTCCATTCATTTTTCTCCTCTTTCTTTTTATCCTGACATCCACTAAAACAGTCCTTGTCAAGGCCTTCTGTGAAGCTGCTGAGAAACACAGATGGTTCTTGTCTGCAGGTGCTGTAATGTTATCACACACCATGAACCATTGTCCTAGGGAAGTATGTGGTCCACTCATCAATATACATTTTGGTTTTAAGATTTAAGATACCACTGGGTGTTGCGGGAGGTCCTTCCGCCCCTCCAACCAATAGCTGCTGAGATACCAGCCCATTGGGGCGTGGTTTCTCTCCCTTTAAAAAAATGGCTACTTCCTCCCCTCGCTCTCTTCACTTCCTGCTCCGCTGGAGACTAGACTCCCTTCCTGGTTGTGCAGATGGCTGTTGTCTGGGATGGTGATCTGTAAGTTTTTTCCCCTTTAAATAAATAACACCCTATTAATCATAACTCCAAACTGGTGTGGCATTGTTCGTGACTTACGCCTTCAACTGGGTGGTGGCACACGCCTTTAACCCCAGCACTTGGAAGACAGAGATTGGTGGATCTCTGTGAGTTTGAGGCCAGCCTGCGCTACAGAGTGAGTTCCAGGACTGCCAAGTCTACACAGAGAAACCCTGTCTTGAAAACCAAAAACAGGTATCAAGATACCTTACTTGAAGGGCCTCACTGAATAAATGGGACCTCCTGAGACTGAGAAGCTTCTGTAAAGCAAAGGACACTGTCGCTAAGACAGAAAGGCAACCCACTGACTGGGAGAAGATCTTCACCAACCCAGCAACTGACAAAGGTCTGATCTCCAAAATATATAAAGAACTCAAGAAACTAGACCGTAAAAGGCTAATCAACCCAATTATAAAATGGGGCACTGAGCTGAACAGAGATCTCTCAACAGAAGAAGTTCAAATGGTCAAAAGACACCTAAGGTCATGTTCAACTTCCTTAGCAATCAGGGAAATGCAAATCAAGACGTTAAGATACCATCTTACACCTGTCAGAATGGCTAAAATCAAAAACACCAATGATAGCCTTTGCTGGAGAGGTTGTGGACAAAGGGGTAAACTCATCCATTGCTGGTGGGAATGCAAACTTGTGCAACCACTCTGGAAAGCAGTGTGGTGGTTTCTCAGGAAATTCGGGATCAACCTACCCCTGGACCCAGCAATACCACTCTTGGGAATATACCCAAGAGAGACCTTATCATACAACAAAAGTATATGCTCTGCTATGTTCATAGCAGCATTGTTTGTAATAGCCAGAACCTGGAAACAACCTAGATGCCCTTCAATTGAAGAATGGATGAAGAAAGTATGGAATATATACATATTAGAGTACTACTCAGCAGTAAAAAATAAGGACTTCTTGAAGTTTGCAGGCAAATGGATGGAAATAGAAAACACTATCCTGAGTGAGGTAAGCCAGACCCAAAAAGAGGAACATGGGATGTACTCACTCATATTTGGTTTCTAGCCATAAATAAAGGACATTGAGCCTATAATTCGGGTTCTTAGAGAAGCTAAATAAGAAGGAGAACCCAAAGAAAAACATATAGGCATCCTCCTGAATATTAACCTTCATCAGGCGATGAAAGGAGACAGAGACCCACATTGGAGCACCGGACTGAAATCTCAAGGTCCAAATCAGGAGCAGAATGAGAGAGAGAGCACGAGCAAGGAACTCAGGACCGCGAGGGGTGCACTCACACACTGAGACAATGGGGATGTTCTATCGGGAACTCACCAAGGCCAGCTGGTCTGGGTCTGAAAAAGCCTGGGTTAAAACCGGACTCGCTGAACATAGCAGACAATGAGGACTACTGAGAACTCAAGAACAATGGCAATGGGTTTTTGATCCTACTGCACGTACTGGCTTTGTGGGAGCCTAGGCAGTTTGGATGCTAGACCTGGATGGAGGTGGGTGGTCCTTGGACTTCCCACAGGGCAGGGAACCCTGATTGCTCTTTGGGCTGACGAGGGAGGGGAACTTGGTTGGGGAAGGGGGAGGGAAAGGGGAGGCGGCGGTGGGGAAGAGACAGATATCTTTAATAAATAAAAATAAATAAAATAAAAGATACCTTATTTGATATCTAGTTAATTTACTGACTAACAGTAAACAGCATTCTACTTCACCCTGGTACCTGACACCTGGTATCTACATTCTCCATAAGGCACACCACGGCCTTCCTGGACTTAGAAGACAGGTCAGCCTTTATCAGTAGCACCAAATGTTTCCATATGAACAGTGGAACCCCAAGACACACCCAGTGAAGTCTTCCCCAACTAGATTCACATCTCAGCAATCTCATTTGCAGCGTGACTATGTAACACACACCTCCCCTGTAGTTCCTGGATGCTCTGTTGTTCTTCCCCCTTTCCTTTCTGTTTTCCATCTGGGTGATTTCGACTTGTCTATCTTCAAGTTCACTGACTCTTCAATCGTGTCGAGTCTAATAAACCTCGACACCACCTACTAACTCATGCTATTTTTATTTCTAGTAATCTTTTGTAACATCCAATTCCCTCTTCTGCAATCCCTGTTTATGCATGTTATCTACCCCAAATCATGTGTCATGGCATGTGCATACCACCACTCAAAATGATAATAACTTTAAAATGTAGCTGATAGCTAGGAATAACAGACACCTGTAATCCAAGCAAGTGCTGCTAAAGCAGAGGTAGGAAGATCAGAGTTCAAGGCCACCTTTCACTATACAGTGAATTTGAAGCTAGCCTGAGCTATGTGAGACCTTGTCTTAAAATGTAGTTGACTTGTCTGCCACTTGGGAGGCGTAGGCAGGAGGATCTCTGTGAGTTCAAGGCCAGCCTGATCTATAGAGGTAGATCCAGGACAGCAACGGCCAAACAGAGACACCCATCTCAAAACACCAATAGAAAAAAAGAGGTAGATGACTTATCCTTCCCTCCTCATATGACACCCCACCTTCAACTTCTGTAAGTCTCAAAAGCCAGCGGCCTGTAGGTTATGGAACTTACTCTTGTGTTAGGTAGGAATAAGACTGTCTTCAGCTTTCTATGCCGTAGGGAAAAGCCAGAAGATGCTCCATGATTTTAATTATATTAAAATTTATATTTACAATTCCTAAGTGACATTTCTAGTCTGAGCACACTTCAGTCAATTAAGCTAAATTCTCTAATGAAGATGTTTATCACAAAAAATTTTCAATATATCCATAATGAACTTGTTAAAATGAGAACGGTCCAAGCTGGGCATACACCTATTACTCCAGTACCATAATGTTAGTACTCTGGTACTAGGCTAGAAGATGATCAAGAATTCCAGGCCACATTAGGCATAGTGAAGCACACTTTTATTTTTAGCACAGAGAGAGAGGCAGGCAGATCTCTGTGAGTTTGAGTCCAGCTTAGTCTATATAGCAAGTTTCAGGACAGTTTGCGTCCCCCCCCCCCAAAAAATGGAGGGGGAACACTTCCTTCTAAAGGTGCTTCAGTCGTCCCCCCCCTCCCAACTTTGCAGCATCATCTCCCAGTCTCTCTGTGCTGGGTTTTCTGAGCATATAGACCGACAATAGGTGCATCTGTGAACACCACTAGCCAGCTCAGCATGCTGGCTAGCTCTTGACTTACCGGATGGGCTATCTGAGAAATGTGAGTCCCCTGAACTGCTGAACCAGGCTGAGGTGCAGTCTCTGAAGAGTTACTCTTGTGAGAATCTTCCATAATCAACTGAAAGGGAAAAAGGCAGTTAAAATGCTTCAGAATCAGCAACTACTACAGTCACATAACACTTGGTTAGTAATAAAAACCCAGAAGAGAACCAGTTCAGAGAGTAATCTTCGACATTTTAAAATTTGGAAAAGCCAGAATGTTAGATACTTGAGTCTTCCTATCAACAGATCTTTCTCCAGTCTAGGGCTGAGTCTCTAACTGCATGCATGGCTTCATAAAGAGAACTCACTAACAGGTTAACAAAAATAAAGGGCAGGGCTGGTACTCAACTTTTTTTGTTTTGTTTTTAATGTAGTTTCTCTTTGTAGCCCTGGCCCTTCTGGAACTTGCTCTGTAGATCAGACTGGTCTCGAACTTAGATATTCACCTGACTCTGCCTCCTGAGTGCTAGGATTAAAGGTGGGAGCCACCAAGTGATGACGCTCAACTGTAATTCCAGACCTCAGGAGGTGACTGTCTCAGGCACCAGCCGGGCTACACAGTGAGACTGTCTCTTATTCTAGGGACCAGATTATCTAAATATTAACTCATGGCATATGTAGGCTGAGAAAAATGAGAACCGTGATAGAATGTGACAGGGAGAACCACGAAGAGAAAGACTGATAGAAGATTTAGATAGGATTTAGGTCTGTACGCGGAGTAAGAGTAATAAAAACCCAGTGACAGATATTGGGGTTCAACCTCAAAATCAGAAAAATAAACAGTCAGCCACTGGCTCTTACCTTAGCCTCAAGCCAACAAGGAGATCCTGCCTCCAGGAATCCTCAGAATAAATCTGATCCTGAGAGCTGTCTCCTCCCATCTTATATTCCTCTCTCCAGTGCAGGGATTAAAGGCATGCACTACTACCTCCACTACTACCTCCCGGTTTCTGTGGCAAACTAGTGTGGCTATGGGGATTAAAGGGGGTGTTACCACTGCCTGGTCTGTAAGGCTGACCAGAGCAGATGTTTTACTCTTGATCTTCAGGCAAGCTTTACTTGTTAAAATACAAATAAAATATTACTATATTTCCCTTATTTGTCTAGAATTAAAAAGGCGGTAACTAATATAAGAAAAACTATATAAAATAAGTACAGTGACTATATACAATATATACAGGTAATAAATACATCAACAATGTTTAGTCCATTTGCATTTGACAAATTCATATCTGTCCTATCTTGGTGAGTCCGAAGTCTTGTACCTAATTTACTTTCTATCATAACTTGCTTTCTGCATCTGGTAAACAAGGAAAACTATACCTATCTGATTTTCAACCCTCAGAGTCACAAGAAGGAAGTAATAACTGAGTAAGCAGAAAGTACAAGCCTATAACTTCCAAAAAATGTGAGCAATGATAGAAACAGCTACCTGCCTCCACAGTCACCCAAGGTTCCTCTCCAACATGGGGGCATCTATCTTTGACCTAGAGGCCTAGCATATCCAACAGACTTTTATGAAGCAGGATGCTCTGAAGGGCTGTCCATCCTCATCCTGACAGTGTTTGACAGTCACTTTCATTTGGGTCCTGCCTATCCAATTGGGACAGAATACTGCCAGCAGCTGAGACAAGGACATTTTTAAGCTCAGTGGTTTACTTTTGTCTCCATGTGGAGTTTCTTTGATGCTCATTATCTTCTCTGAAGTAGACTGGTGCTGCCAGGAGGGTATGTCTCACTGTCATAAAAAACCTGCATTTACGGTTAGATACAGGAAGAGAGTGAGTTTATCTAGTATGCATGAGGTCTTGGCACTAATCTTAGCACCATCGAAAACAAACTAGTCTTGCTGGGCAGTGGTGGCGCGCACGCCTTTAAACCCAGCATTAGGGAGGCAGAGGCAGATGGAGCTCTGTGAGCCTGGTCTACAAGCGCTAGTTCTGGGACAGGCCCCCAAACAACAGAGAAACCCTGTCTCAAAACACACACACACACACAAACACACACACACGAAAAAAGAAAGAAAGAAAGAAAGAAAGAAAGAAAGAAAGAAAGAAAGAAAGGAAGAAAGAAAGAAAGAAAGAGAGAGAAAGAAAAGAAGGAAAAAAAATAGTCTTGTGCGTAGACGAGCGAGCGAAGCAGGCGCCAGCAGACGAGCAGGCGCCGCCGCAGACTAGTGAGCAGACGCAGGCGGGCAACGCAGGCCGCACGGTGGCAGAGGAGGCAGAGGACGCAGGCGGCAGGGACCAGCAGCAACACCGAGAGCAGATCGCCCCACTACAATTAAATCAAAGAGGTAGGCCTTTGGTCGGTGAGGTCCCTGGCAAACGGGGAGCCGGGTCCTGTTCCTGAAAACCCTTCTGAGGGGTGAGAGGGTTCTTGGCCCCCTGCAGGAGCTAGGAAACAGAGCAAGGGCAATTAGTAAGAGAAGCCTCTGGACAGCAGAGAAACCTGATCCGATTTTAAAAGACCAATTAGCTAGCATCGAAAGGAGGCAGGCGCCAAGGCAGAACTTCACCCAATAATCTGAAAAACAACATAAAAACACCAGAACCCAAAGATCTTACAACAGAAGGACTTGAACACCCTAACACAGAAGTGGAAAAAATTGACTTTATGAAAGCAATAGAGTCCCTTAAACAACATGTAAAAAACACCCTTATAGAAATGGATGAGAAGTATAACAAAAAGTTTGAAGAATTGAGTAAATACGTACATGAGACCCTAGGAAACCAAGAAAAAACGAACAAACAGGTAATGGAAACAGTTCAAGAATTGAAAACTGAAATGGAAGCAAGGAAGAAA